CAGCTGTGGTTGTGCTTGAAACAGCTGTGGTTGTGCTTGGAGCAGCTATGGTTGTGACTGGAACAGCTGTAGTTGTGATTGGGGCATCTGTGGTTGTGCTAGGGGCAGCTGTGGTTGTGGTTGGAGAAGCTGTGGTTGTGCTTGTAGAAGATGTGGTTGTGGTTTGAGCAGTTGTGGTTGTTGTGGGAGCAACTGTAGTTGTGGTTGGAGCAGCAGTGGTTGTTGTTTCTAAAGCTTTGGTTGTTACAGAAACAGCTGTGGATGTGATTGAAGCAGCTGTGGTTGTTGTAGCAGCAGATGTTGTTGTGCTTGGAGCAGCTGTGGTTGTGGATGGAGAATCAGTGGTTGTGGTTGGAACTGCAGTTGTAGTTGTGGCAGCAGCTGTGGTTGTGGTTGGAGCAGCAGTGGTTGTGGTTGGAGCAGCAGTGGTTGTGGTTGGAGAAACTGTGGTTGTTGTTGGAGCAGCTGTGGTTGTTGTGGGAGCAGCTGTGGTTGTGGGAACAGCTGTGGTTGTTGTTGGAGCAGATGTGGTTGTGCTTGGAACAGCTGTGGTTGCACTTGGAGCAGCTATGGTTGTGGTTGGAGAAGCTTTGTTTGTGGTTAAAGAAGCAGTGGTTGTTGTGGCAGCAGATGTTGTTGTGCTTGGAACAGCTGTGGTTGTTGTTGGCGCAGCTGTGGTTGTGGTGGGAGCATTAGTTGTAGTTGTTGCAGCAGCTGTGGTTGTGATTGGAGCAGTTGTGGATGGAACAGCAGTGGTTGTGCTTGGAGCAGCTGTGGTTGTTGTGGCAGCAGCTGTGGTTGTGGTTGGACCAGTTGTGCTTGTTGTAGGAGCAGCTTTTGTTGTGGTCGGAGCAGCTGTGGTTGTGCTTGGAGCAGCTGTGGTTGTAGTTGGAGCAGCTGTGGTTGTGGTTGGAGCAGCTGTTGTTGTGCTAGGAGCAGCTGTGGTTGTGATCGGAGCAGGCGTGGTTATGCTTGGAGCAGCTGTGTTTGTGCTTGGATCAGCTGTGGTTGTTGTGGGAGCAGCTGTGGTTGTGCTTGGAGCAACTGTGGTTGTGCTTGGAGCAGCTGTGGTTGTTGTGGGAGCAGCTGTGGTTGTGGTTGGAGCAGCTGTGGTTGTGCTTGGAGAAGCTGTGGTTGTGCTTGGAGCAGCTGTGGTTGTGCTTGGAGCAGCGGTGGTTGTTGTGGGAGCAGGTGTAGTTGTGGTTTGAGCAGCTGTGGATGTGACTGAAGCAGCAGTGGTTGTAGTGGCTGCAGCTGTGGTTGAAACTGGAACAGCTGTGGTTCTGGTTGGAGCAGCTGTGGTTGCAGTGGGAGCGGCTGTGGTTGTGCTTGGAACTGCAGTAGTTGTTGTGGGAGCAGCTGTGGTTGTGGTTGGAGCAGCTGTGGTTGTTTTGGGAGCAGCTTTGGTTGTGGTTGGAGCAGCTGTTGTTGTGCTAGGAGCAGCTGTGGTTGTGATTGGAGCAGCTGTGGTTGTTGTAGCAGCAGATGTTGTTGTGCTTGGAGCAGCTGTAGTTGTAGGAGCAGCAGTGGTTGTCAGAACAGCTGTGGTTGTAGTTGGACCAGCTGTGCTTGTTGTGGGAGCAGCTTTTGTTGTGGTTGGAGCAGCTGTGGTTGTAGTTGGAGCAGCTGTGGTTGTGATTGGAGCAGGAGTGGTTATGCTTGGAGCAGCTGTGGTTGTGCTTGGAGCAGTTGTGGTTGTGGTTGGAGCAGCTGTGGTTGTGCTTGGAGCAACTGTGGTTGTGCTTGGAGCAGCTGTGGTTGTGCTTGGAGCAGTTGTGGTTGTGGTTGGAGCAGCTGTGGTTGTGCTTGGAGCAGCTGTGGTTGTTGT